GTTAGTTTTAGTTGCAGTATAAGCGAACATCAGCGCAATCGAAATATAAATATAATTACTTGCATTACGCGGACGATCTGAAATCGATGAATCGGCGCTCCCAGCCTTCCGCAAACATTGTCTACCACGGCTGAAACGCTAGGTGTGCCCACGCCGCCGATCTGTACGTTCAGTATTAAACGGGCTCCGGAGAGCCGTTTGATTAAACCGGTACAGCTTGCAACATGGTCACCGGTTTGAGCAAACGTGCGACAACTTTGCCCAAACGAGTCGCCCATTTGCCCAGACGAGCGACCCATTTGCCCAGACGAGCGACCCGTTTGACAAAGGAGTGACCTGTTTGTCCAAATAGGTGACCGTTATGGCTCATACGGGGGACCCCTTTGAGCCATACGGGCGACCCCTTTGACAAACTGGTGACCGGTATGGTTAAACTGTTACCGGTATGGACCCGTTTATTTTCATATAGGCGCCAAATGGTTTTTTTCAGTAGGGTCATGCTACTTAGAATGCAGCACCAGGAGTCGGGGCGAAGTACAAAGTGTTGAAGTGCCCACGATCAATAAATAAAATAAAACGACCGTGCGTGTACGTGTGGCGCCACAGTGCGCGAGCCAAGAGCCGTAGACAGCCTCGTGGTGTCTGGACGAGGCTGTCTGAGACTGTCGCCTATTTGATCACGTAAGGACACGTTACCGCGTAACCTGAGATGGAAAACTTACGTTATCACGTAGCCTAACTTGATAACGTAGTTTGCGCTAGCTGCAGTGAACTGTAGCAGCGGACAAGCGTCGTCTGCATTTCCGTATGGGGTTTTGGCGCCCCTAGTAGCAAATATGTCCAGTAGGCGCGACGAAGCCAAAGTTACCATTGGGCAGACATGTTAAGTATAGAGGAGGCTATGGCTGAACACTCGGCGACAATGTTGGCATGATTGTTGACCTCTGCGACAGACCAGCACCGCGATTGACTTTGGCACAGCAGCGAATCATGGCGCTTCGAAATCTCGCCGCCTTTCTTGACAACGGCCCAGCTTAGAGCCCATAGGCTCCTGATTCGCTGCGCAGCGATTTTCACACGCCTTCGTGGAAATTATCACCGAGTGATTAAACATTTGGCTGCTTTCCTTATATATATTTAGTGGATTAAAAAATAATTGCTCGGCATGAATGTTTAAGACGCTTTTTGTTTCAAGAAAGCGTCGATGTGTTATACAGTATTGCTTCGCAGGAAAGCTCTGCGTTATGCTTAAATTAAAGTGCCCATAAAAGGTGTACTTACATGCAAAGGAGGGTACTTCCGTTTGTGCAATAAGGTTTGCGCATGCATACCTTATTTTTATAAGATTGCAAAAAAAAATCCAGAGAAACTTCCCAATTGTGGAGGTCTTAAGAATACTGTAAGTAGTACTCCGTGAGTAGTAAATTGAAAGCCTTCAGTATCTTCATTATCTTTCTAAAATAATATTTGTTCAGCAGGACCGTTAGTACGCGTTACCCATTAAAGGTGGTATCAGGTATCAGGCACAAAACATTTCTACGTTCTACTTTTCGGTATAATGACTTATTAAGCTGCTGAAGCTGCTAACGGATGAGGCCATTTAGCCAGCGGCAAAAACTGCGTAACGGAGCTTGTCTTCAGGTGCATAAGCCGTCATCTGCTAAACCGATCAAACGCAGAGTATGTACCGTGGCCTTGTGTTTTTAGTTTCCGTGGTTTCTGCTTGTATCTCGTGTCTTTGGCTGCGCTTTAATTGATATTAAAACTACCTGTAGCTGACTCTTTTTCGAGACATGTTAAAAATCGCACACTATTTCTTTTATCAATATGTTCATTGTTGAAACGTGACTGGGTGTCACAGGACATAGTGTTTCATCAAAATGTGCGGCATGGCGGTAATTAAATTACGAAGGCAAATATTCAGTTTAATATTGTTTTTCTTAATTCAGACGCCAACTTCAGTTTCGAAAGAATGTGTGGAGTTTAAGAACAATACGAATACCTAAAAAAAATTATAATGATCAAGCAAAGGCTATTTTCTTCCAGGTTAGGTTAGTGTATATAAAGTCACTGGTTCCTGCGAAAGTAGCGCCAAAAACTTGTTGTATTCGCATGTTTCGGTCTTTGTATTGTGACCGTGGCAATCGTTTTGCGCGCTTCTGTTAGTTTCTGGGGGACGTTTCTTTATTCTATTTTTTAGCGCGTGTAGCCGTGCTCACAAGGGACCAGGAAGCCACAATGGCCGCTTCCTCCTCCCTTGTGATGGGACAAACCAGGCTGGCAGTATAGGCAGACTTGTTACATGAGGGCTGCACTGCTTCCACATTTCCCGAACATCTGATGCGTCCCAAAACAAACTCCAGTGATGTGAATATGTTGTTTATTCTTCTAATCCCTCAAAGGGCCCTCGTAGATATTGCCGAGAGCATATTTAAAACTATGCAAGTATGATAACATCATAGCGTACCAACATTATTGAGCACAAAACAGGCCCAGCTACTGAAAACAAATATCATACTCGTAACAAATATTTGTTTCTGTAAACAGTTTATTACAAAAACGAACACACCTTTGAGCATCTAGTTTAATACTATGTGAGGAATCTGGATATAGGCATTTTTATTGAGTAGGACATTACACGTACGTCTAATAATAAACGCTCTGCAAAACCCCATCAGGCAACATTGAGTGCTGCCATGTTCTTTCTTGGGAGTAAAGCACGTGAGTGAACGGCAGTGCTGCCCTCGAGTCCAATAGGCACTGACCCGTGCTCACGGTGATTGCTAATATAAAGTTATTGTCCAGTACATATCTAGAGTGCATTTGCACTCTAGAGAAGTATGAAATAATCAGGTAATTAGCCCACGAGCTACAATGGTGGTGTAAGAGTGTATACTCCCTTTCATCTTAATTTGGTCAATATGAACCTTTGAAGAGAGGAATGTGACGACATATAATCAGAGTGGTCTCCTTCTACGGAGTGCTGTGCCATACCTTCACTCAGTCTCTCTGCTTGGCTCGAGGGGGCTGTGGCCTTTGCTCTTTGCCAAATTATGGTGAAACGAAGTATAGGCAGCACACACCTTTGGAAAAAGTCTATTGAAGAGAATGAAAGGACTGGTAGTCAACATTTTGCTACAAGATTGCTTCTTCGGACATCTGGGAAGAACACAAGTTCAGGTTATTTTATCCGGGTAAATAGAACAAGTAAATAATCAACCACTGATAAACTTCCCTCTTTATAAACACAATTATGGCTGCAATTAACCCTACAAAAGTGAAACATGTGCAGTTCATTTCCCATTTCTGAGTTGCTTTAAATTTAAAGAATCGTTGACTTGTGCAGTGCGAAAACTGCTTTATTTTAAAGATTATAGATGTTGGACTGGTGGATGAGACAACCATTTTAGAGGAGTCTCATTATAAACTAGAAGTTAGTCGGGAAATTTCATACCTATCGGCAAGGTCAAAAGCCTAATAATATTAATTTCTAAGCAACTTCAAATGCAGTAATGTGTGCACTGCCCGATCAAAAATATAAGAATTTGCCTTCTGAGTTTCAAGGGGATAATTGAACTGTTTTGTGAACGTTAAAAATGAACTACTTTGCGAATGATTGGTTCAGATCCTTTGTAACAGTTCGCGTGCACATTGCTAAAGAAAGCACCAGCCTTTCACACCAAACAAAATACTGCTATCAAACGCAAGCTACTGTAATAGCAGCACGTTATAACCAAATATTAAGAAGTCCTAAATCGTCGGCAAGCAACTGCACATCATGACTTTCGCGCACCGAACCAACTCGTATCTGCCAGCTCTGATCGCTGCTATTTTACCGTTGACGTCAAGGACTTTGTGAGATCACGTGACAAGTAGCCACATTTGCGTATATCATGGCGATCAACCTGGGCCTGGGCGCCACTTTCTAATTTCCGGTTTATAACAGAACTCTATGCCGCTCTGCCTCTACGATACCCCCCCCCCCCCCCCTTTCCCTTCGTACAAGCGTTTCACAGAAAGTGGCGTGCTCATCTGAGCTCGGCAGTACATGGTTCGTGCAGCTGTGAGCATTTGAACAGCAAAATAAAAATTTGCTCTGTTGCACCCGTACACGCTGTGCGCTCTAGTTCTGGTGTATGCGCTCTAGTCTTCGACCGGGAGAGCGCCCGTAAACTTGCTGTGCCCGAAACTGTACTCCCATGTCCAGGAAGCCACCTCGTACGGTGCTCAGAATAGCCTTGGCTATTTTGTGCGCAGTATTCGTTGCCTCGCTGGTATATTATGACTGGTTACGACCGCCACCTTCCTGCCCAACGCCAGCACCCGGCGGCACAACCAGAGAGCAGGTAATACGCAGTGTTGCTATGGTCACTGAAAGAATGAGAACGGCAGGGAGGTCCCTCACTTGTCCCGCCTCCCCAATGAGCTTCCTGCCTTCGACAGTGCGTCAGCGTTTTGTGAGCCTCGAGCTTGCTCACGCAGCCAAAGCACGGTGGAAGGCAACGGGCGCGTGGTGGTGGCCGGTCATCTGAGAAAACGCCGTGCCTTTCCCATCCTATCAGTGTCTATAGTGGTCATTCTGATTCCAATTTCTTTTCAGATTCTCCAAGTGTTGTCCTGGCGGAACTTTTTTGAGTAAACCTTGAGTTGGCCGTTTTCGGATTTCATGGCTGTTGCAGAGGAAATTAAATAGACAGTTTTATTTCGTTTTGTTTGATATCCTAGATAATTTCACATCTCGCTGTCTAAAAGAGTGCTATAAGAGTGAATGAGGTCGACGTGGATACACTCGACCCTACAATAGGTTCTGGATTACAATAACTTTTCGTAGATTCTACGCAAGAGATTTCCGTTAAGAGCGCGAGCACGTGACGATTCTTTGAGCATAGATTGAGTACGCGCGCGCAAGGCCCGCAATCCGCAATGTACCATGTACGACCAGTGTTGTTTTTTACTTCCCGTATCTACTGTTAATTACGATTTTTTTTTTGTTTCCGCAGACTTCTAGACGCAGCGACCATGACTTTGCGTTCAGAGCAAGAAGAGTCAGCAGGGTGTGTCATACGTACCAGCTAACCTTGGCGGATCACAAGAGGCGCTTCAACAAGCGCAACTTAAGCTGCGAACAATTACCCGTGTTCTACAACAACCGAGAATGTTCCTTCATCATCGACTCCACAAAGAAAGTTGGCTACTGCTACATCTGCAAAGTTGCATCCACCACAGTCAAGGCCATCTTCGGTCAACTGCTCAACATCAGTCACATGGGAAACACACTTGACAGTATACACACTGCCTTTCATGAGCATGTCCGCACAGTCTCACCAATGACGTTTCTACAGAGGAGCAGCCAGGAGAGCTACAGAACCGCCATGTTCGTGAGGCACCCCTTCGAGAGGCTAGTTTCAGCTTACGTGGACAAGGTGCTAGGCCCGCGTGCTGAAAATGTCTACTTTTATGAGCACTACTGGAACGACATGCCTGGCGTCAGGAACACGGGCCGGAACGTGACCTTCCCGGAGTTCATCGATTATATATTGAATCAGACAGTGAACCAGATGAACGCTCATTGGACTCCGTACTACGTGACGTGTCAGCCTTGTGCCGTCAAGTACGAGTTCGTCGGAAAGCTGGAGACAGGAAACAGGGACTTCGCGCTTTTCTTTGAAACGCTGGGTTTACGGCTCGAGGACATTCCGCAGCAAAACAAGGGTAGCGACCACGGGTTCCGCAAATCTGCCCGAGAGTTTTTTAAGGAGCTCACTTTCGATCAGGTGATGCGTCTATATGACCGGTTCTTCTTCGATTTCGAGATGTTCGGGTACGACTTCAGGGACTATCTGCACTGAAATTGCACGCGAAACCGAAGGATAAGGCCAACTTCGAAGAGGGTTTTTCACAGCCGGTGCTTCAACGAATCTGCAGTCGAGTAAAGGAGGGCCCATGCTTGAAACCTATAAAGCTATTTTCTCGTCAAATGAGCATTCAGAAGGCAGCTTTACTGAATAATATATTGGTCTAGAGAACTTAAGTGTGCCGGTAGCCTAAAATTAGTGTCTCATGTGTATACCCATAACCTCCTTTAACTGATAATGCCTGCCCAATCGCTGGTTGCCAGTTATAACCACAAAGGTTATAACTGGCAACCAGCCAGTTATAAACAACACAGAAAAGGTAACCACCGTGAATAGGCCTCTCTCGTGCGTTGAATTCTTGGTGTTCTTTTTGGCATTCGTCGTGGTTGCTGTGGGCAAGTTCCTGTCGGAGATGTCATTTTATTAAGTCCCAAGCTACACCTGGGATCATGAAAACTCACGAAAGCTCGTTTCGACGAAAGATTGTACCCCAATTCTACCTCCCGCCACTCAACAGTATTCGACAGAGAGATTTTCGAGGTAGACATTAAGTATGGCCTGTCTGGTCACAATCTGTGCATCTTCCCGAGGCTTCATTCAAAGCTCAGCATGTCTCGGGCCTCCCTAGCGTCGAAGCTGGATCAGCCCATGTGCCATTCCAGGCTCTCATTTGGCGCTGCTTTGATTGGCTCGCAGCGGTTATTTGTCCACATCTTTCTCGCTCACCTCGAGTAAGTGATGGGCGCCTGAGGACAGGCACAACGCGTTTTTCCCTATCTTGTGGTCCTGCACAGCTTACTCCTTCCACACTGCTTAGGTAATTTCGTAATGGTTGTAAGCACGGAAGACCCTGGCCGTTGTAATTTCTCGCCACCTTCTGCTCTGCGCCTGGTCCTTGACCTCAGAATTAAAAACGCTTAGTCTTCGCTGTTTAAGTCAGTGTGTTTATTGAGAAAATAAGGAGGAAAGAAAGAAAATTTGGAACGAAAGGTTATCCTCTCAATGCGGTGTTATATTTCTCGTTGCGATTGGGCAGAGGCAAACCATGAGTGGTTGAGAAGAGGAAGAATAGGGCTAGCGCCTGGCAGTCTGGGCGTGAGTCACAATCAGATGACCGCGGCCTCGAGCAAGTTACATTAGACATGGAAAATCTTAATCCTGGTCGTTCGTGGTCCATTTGGAAAAAATATAATTTGTGCATCTCGGTTGCCGATGTTATTTGCAGGGGTTGTCTTTCGCGCTAATTCCTTAGTCCTTTGTAGAGCCACTAAGTGAGCTACGCTTAGGGTATCGGCACTGTGTTCCTTGGTATTGTTGTGGGCGCCGCCATCTTGGTGCGTAGTGCAGAGCAGACGGAACTACCGATCGTCATGATTCAAAAGTGCGACTTCCTCAGCACTATATTGGCTGTTAGGAAGCTTATATAGTCAATATTGCTTTGGATTGCCGCAAACTCACTAAAAAAAGCTCCCGGTGCGAGGCTCAGAGCATTGCCTTCGAGGTCAAAAACGAAACTACTTTTCGTTTACTTCCCTCGGTCAAGTCCATCCCTTACTTTACAGTCAACTGTCAACATAAAAGGAGGGGGGGGGGGGGGGTTAGGCGATCTAAATAGTGCTGACAGAGAGAGAGAGAATGCGTAAAAACGGTGCGATCCTCCATTGTTTTGTGATACCGATGGCCATCGCTTCTCTCGCTGTCTATGCCCTCCCCACCCCTGGCCTCCACGAATATTGGTATGCAAGTGATAACCGATGAAATATCGATAACCCGTAACCGCTACTTTTTCTCTGACTGGTCGAGTCTTCGTCCGTGGAGTGTCCGTCGTCTCCATGGCCACCTCTTAATGACATGCTCTAAATTCAGGGCTAAATTCAAACTCTAATATACGAAAACACATCAAGGTAAGCTGGAACACCTGCATTCTGCATTGACTATACATTGTAATGTTAGAACCAAGTTTGTTTGTTTTTTTGTTTTTTTCTCGTGTGAATAACAGGCGAAACACCCGAGTCAAAAGGGAGCTTTCGTAGATCGCTTCTTCAGCTCCGAATCTCGTCGCGAAGGTAGACGCTGCTTCTGAGCATGCGCACCTCTAGCTTTGTCTGCACAATTCCAGGGATCATTTCTGGAGGCCGTAAGCTAGCGGAATGGCGGGTGTGGCTGCAGCTTTCGGTGCCTTGTCAGCTTACAGGTGAACGGAGTACACCTATGCTCTTTCTTTTAAACGCAATATTTTATTTTTACGAGAACTATCATATTCTGTGCGTATGAGGAATGAAAGTAGTGTTGGAAAACATTTTTGAAAAATATCAGTATTGTTTTCTAAATAAGTGTACAAAAAAGTAACGCGAAAGTAATTTGTGATGTAACAAATGAAGTAATATATTACTTGTAAGCGAACGTAACTCGTAACGGTTATCTATTACATTTAAGGCTCGGTAATTTGTAATTGTAATCTATTACATTTTTTAAGTAACGAGCACAAGTCAGGTTGTACGGGTCACTTGTTATTGTTTGTGATTTGGCGTCGTTGTCTTGATTGCAGGAGCATCTGCTTATTCTGGTAGGTCTTGTTTTCTTGATTTGCTATGTTGCGTACAAGTATGGCAATTTTCTTCGCGAGTGGTGTTGCCTTCCTTTAAGTTTTGAAGTTGTGATAAGGCCCTTGAGTTCATAACGATCAGAAGCTACTCGCTCTTGTTGTCTTCTGATCTTTTGATGAGTGCCAGCCCCATGGCGTCACGTGTCGCGTTACGTCACACGTAAGCGTTGTACCTTGTATGAAACGCCTGCGCGAGGTCATGTAGCGTGACGGCACACGCTTGACGTCACGCGCGTTCTGCTAAACTTGGCGGAATCCTTTTCCTCTAAATTTGGAGGGTAAACATTCCGGTATATTTAGCGCAAAATTTTCCTGCCAAATTAAGCGGTAAAATTAAACCCTCGCGACGCCACACGTGACGTCACGTGTGACGTCACCTTGTGCATGCCGGGATTTTCCGATCCCCCCGACGCCGGCGCTGGATTTTCTGCGAATCGAGCTCCAAAACGCTATCACGTTAATAGAACCTATCTGAAAGTCAGCCTACCAACTCTGTGCGGAGCCAAAGCGCTCTAATGGGAGGCACTGCACAGCTTCTCCACACCAGAATAAGCGAACATCTTCGAAACATAGAGGGAAAGGGGAAAAGATGTTGGGTTTTCAGGTCACCTTCGATTCATGAAATCGAGTAAGCTTGATTTAGCCGAGCAGGATCTCCTATCATCGCCGTTAGAGCTGAAATATTGGACCTTTCGAGGCTACCACAAGGTGACTCTGAATTTTTAAACGGGTACGTTATGCGTTAGTTGTTTATACAGCAAGGGGTTAGTCTGCTAGAAACATGGCGAAAGCCATGTTTCTGGCAGACTAACCCCTTGCTGTATAACCCCTTGCAGTTGCAGAAAGCAGCTGTCGGCTAAATGTATTGTTATGAGCGAGTAGGTTTCAGATGGTTTACCCTCAAGAGGATAATGCGCTGCATTGTGACCATGTATGCGCTGCACATTGTAACCATTATTTCAATGCCGTGCTGTAAACTATTACAACTTTTTCTTTGCCTGATCTAGGTGTGATCATGTTTTCTGCTCAAAATTATGTGAAATACTTGCTTTTTTTAAAATCTTATAAAGCATTACTTTTTCAGCCCACGCTGTCACAGTTTTTGAACTTAATTTCAATGTTAAAACGCGTGATAAAAATTGTCACGACTTATAAGCCATTTCTTACAAGTGAACGTCGGGTGATCCTCGGATGGTCGTGGCAGCCGTGAAGAAATGGAAGATTCTCACTCCTTTGCGACCGTCGCTTGGGTGGTTCGTCGCATAAATGAACACAAGAATAAGTGACAAGTGAAGCGAGCTGATTAAGGTCAAGAAAAAGAAGTCGGGCAGAAAAGATGATAGAGAAGTTAACCTGTGGTATTAAAAGCATACTAAAACAATCTCGGACTTTAGTATGTGCCGCTTCGTTCCATTATAAAATACAATAGGAAAAAAAGAAAAGAAAAACTGCTTCCGAGTTTTAGATATTCCTTTCAAATATCTAATGTTCGGCCTTTGCAGCCAAGGAAATGGGCATTTCATTTAAAATGATCGCCATTAGACAAACCGAAAGTCGCAGCAAATTCTAGGCTGAAACAACTTGCAATCCGCTTCTTTAAAGTCGCAATTGTTTTTTTATGTAAAGGAAGGGTAATGTAGCTTGTACCGTCCAATACATTGAAGCATCATGTTGCTATCGATCGTGTCGCAGCGTAATTGATGCCGCGGTACGACCGGTGGCTGGTCGTAGCTGTTTCAGAAATCCTATGTGCACTCCACCAAAGCGGCACCAAAGATTCATATTTTCGCGCGTGCAGCCGCGCACGCGCACACTTTCCGGATAACGCGCCGGTGTCGACACCTGTCGAGATCAATACCACGCGCTTCAAGCGAGCCCTTCCGGTCCCAACAATACCCAAGTATTCTAGTACACTGTAGCCCGTCCGCCGGTCCTCCCCGAAGCGTTGTTTCAGTTTTCTTTTCGCTACAATTGTTTCTGCTCAAGCGCGTGTCTTTCAAATATGCGTTCTATGCGCTCGCGCTCGCGCCAAGAGGACAGTGCAGAATTGTTGTTTTCGGGCCCGTGCCTTCACCTACAGCGAACGCGAAATGCTAAATTATCTGAAGCCTGGTTCAGACTAGGGTGCCTTCATGTGCGCTTTGCTTAGGGTGGAGACATCTCGCCATTTTGTCCCACACATTTATTTTTCTTTTTTGTTCAAAAGCGCGTGAAAGAGTGTGTCCCTGCACGCGTTTGTGGCGCTGACTGTGCTATGGCGACATTTTGTTTTCGTCAATTTCTTTGCATTTTACCCGTGAGCGCGTGCTGTCGGCATCAGGTACTACAAAGGGTGGCATCACCCTTAACAGAAGGACATTGAGGCACCCTAGTTCAGACAGTTGCGTTTGACTGCGTTGCGGCAGCGAGAAACCAGGACATCCCTGCTGCTTATATCGCGTGCCAAGACGATTCCTTGAATTGAATTTC